ATTTTATTTAGATTATTTTTATCCATGTTTGATATTTTTATATTCATAATTATAATTTCAAGTTTCATTATTTTTATTCTAAACTAATTTAGTAAATTAGGACTATGATATAACTTAATCAAATTAATATAAATATTTAGATTTTTATATTTTTAATTAAAATTATTCATATGATAAGTTTTTATTGTTGAACTTAATGTTTCACAAACTTGATTACCTTTTGATGATTACGTAATTTAGGTATAAACTTAAGAAAGAACTGTGTAAATCAAATTAATAACAATATAAATTATGTATTAGACTATGAAATTGAAAGGTAATTAACATTATATGTGGTAGTGGAGGAAGAGAAAAAAAGTTAGGAACTTCCACTTCTTAAAGATAGAGGTTTCCACGTCACCTAATGCTCATTAGCTTATTTTTAATTATATTGAGATAGAACTAATTTAATAAACAGGTGATGAATTAACTTAATTTGAGAAAATTAGTTAGTTAATTTAAAAAAATTCACCATCATATGTAATAACACTTAATAAATTAGTTTTAAAAATAAATTGATTTAAATTTTATATTGATTGATTATGATAAAATCGAATGCTTAGTACCTTATGTTTTGATTCTCTTTATTTTAATTATTATTTTTTAGTTGTTTTTAATTAAATTTTCTTTATCTTTGATTTTTTAAATAAATTTAAAATTAATTATTTTTGATATTTTGTTAATCACAATTTTCATAAATTTAACACTTTTTTTCATCATTATATTAGTTGAAGTGACTAATGTGAGTGATTTTAGTGCATCATCCACGCTAATTATGCAATGTCCATGCCAGTAACAGTGTCCATTGTTCTTTCTCGGCGTGCGAAATTGCATGTGTTGTTAAGTTAGATCATAAACCAAAAACGACTCATTTTGTAGGTTGATGTGTAAACCTGCGATCAATAAAATTCAAGCAAGTGCTTTCAAAAGAATGATTGACTACTCCTCATTTTCTCACCTCTGTGTCTTGACAAGGTAGGCCATTGACACTTGTCCTATGAAACTAATTCCACATACCTGCATATCTAAGGCATGTACACGGTAATTAACTGGTTTCAATTATTCATTTCAGCCGCCCATCTATCCTTGGCTTTCCATCACTAAAACAAAGATCTATTTCATTGACAATGTTAAGCCCCATAACACTAGGTTTTCAAACTTTTCATCTTTCTTTGCTTTCCCTCTTCTATATATCCAAGAAATCCATGCGAACTAGCCCAAAGTACTCGATGAACTATTGAACGATCAAGGACAAGGATTCGACAAGTATTGACCCTAAAAAGCCAAAATTCATGATGAATTTCATTAAAATTTCAAACTTTAAAAAGTACACATAACAAAGGAGTAATCAAATGGAACAGAAATTACACAAGTACCAGCATTTAGGAGGACTTCAAATGCATCTTGGTGACCTGAAATCACCAGCGGAGGGATTTGATGGAGAAAGTGCGTTCCATGGCGCACCAGCTTCAAGTAACACCTTAACTACACCGGCATGGCCGAGGTTGGCAGCGTGCATAAGCGGCGTGAGGCATTGCTCTTCAACAAATCTCTATACCCCATTAAAGCAGCATATTCTTCAATATAGTTTCCTTCTACATCCTTAAGAACTATGTTTTTTGCCCTAGCCATCATGCTTGTGTAAACTCTTAAGTCTAAACTCATCATCCATGGGGTTATCTTTTCTTCTAAAGCAATTACGTGTTCTCACATATGAAACAACTCTGAATCTCTCTTCTATATTATAGTTAATGGCACATGTATACCACTTACAAAGTGCCCCTGTGTACTGCAGCTTTTGACAATCTCAATCATTTTTAAACCATTTGAAAACACATCCTTTTCTTTAGAATATGTTCTAATAGCTTTCTTGAACTCTTCACAATTTTAAACCTCATCCCAATATCAAAGATAGGAATAACATTCTTTGGATCAAAAATTGGTATGCTATTTTCCTTCTCACTGCATCTTTGATCACCATGAATTCTTCCTTAGACATGTCAGAATCATAAACACTAAGATCATCACTATCAAAGTAATATAAATTCGCATCTGCAACACATGTATTAGAGTCTACAACCGTGGTATCATCACCAACAGGCATTTTATCAAAGGCATTTAGATAAAACGGCTTTTTCCTCATTGTTTTGATGGTGGGATTAAATTTGTTTAATAGAGGTAGGATTGGATAAAGTGTTGGATAACGGTTATCTTATCTTTCTTTTTTGTTTTTTTTTAGCTTGATAACGGTTATCTTATCTTAAGCACCTTTCAAACCAAAGATTAGATGGAATGGGATTAATTTTGTATCTCATCCTATAGTTTATATATCCTACCTTTCAAACAAGCTGTAAGTATACAAATTAAAGAAACTCAATTCTAAAAAATGAGCAATCAATAGTTTTAAAAAATTGAGCCAACAAACAATCAAACACAGAAAATGACATGCTAGCAATCTTGTGCTCCAATTTGCATCCACAGCTAACTTCTTAGATGATTTTTCTAGCCTGTCACTTATCACACATCTAAGGGTATAATTAATATATTTTTTAATTATTAAATTATATAAAAAAATTAAAAAATAAATATTAATTTTAACATTAATGTAATGTATATTAATTTAATTTTTTAATTATTAAAATTAAAGTCAAATTATCTTATTTTTTCTATATAACTTAATAAGTTAAAATATATTAAATACATTTTTAACATTTATTTTTAAGAAACATGTTAGAAAAACTCTTATAACATTTCAAGCCAACATCAATTGAAAACCAACTAATCCACAAATCCTTCCAATTTCTTGTTGGATTTTTCTAATATGTGCTCTTAAAGTACATATGGAGAGTATCTTTTTACCATAAATGCATATAAAAATATAAAAATTGATACCAATTTTAGTGTTGGGTCAAGTAGATAAATTTAATTAGATAATTGATTAATTAAAAGTTAATTTTTATATATTTAATATAAATTTATGACAAAAAAATGTAATTATTACATCCACAAAGGTAGAGATAGAGTAAAAAATTTATGTCAAGGAGCCAAATTTTAAAATTTTTGTTAGTCATTTATCAGTTTATATAGTATAATTTATATTAGTTTTAAATCAATTATTAATTTTATTCATGTACCACTTATATCATATCTACACTAAATTTTAAATTAACTAGATATATTTAACTTTTTTTTGCCATCATATTTAATTATTTTTGAATAACATATAATTTACAACCATTAAATAAATAGTATAAAAATATATTTTTTTTGTAAGATTACATGTATTGAATTAATTTTAAATTTGGAATATGTAATTTATATAAATAAAATAAATTTAATTGTTAGTTTAATGGACTATTAATTATAGAAACAAAAATTATATATAACTAATATAAGAACTCATATAAATTTTATTTAATATAACTAAATTTAGAATTTTTTTATATTTGTTCTATATATCTAGAGAAATTATTATATCCTTATAGGAATTAATCACAAGTGATTTTTCTATCTAAATTATAAATATTTTTTTTGATATTTAAATTGTCATTACAATTCAAATTTTAAAAATAAAATTTATAAAAATACAAAAATATTTATATTATATTTAACATTTTTCAAAAGTTTAAAAGGTAGCTGCCTCTTGTTCCATGCTGGGTCCGTCCATGCTTAAATCGGCGCATATTAAAAAAAGCTTTTTGTTTTTTTTTTTTTTTTCCTTCCATTTTGTTTAGAAACTCGCAGCTTTTCCCTGAGAAAAGGTTTAAGGTTTCGAATTCCGCAATTTTGTTGGATGAATAATGTGTAAAAGAAGATAACCATCATCTGGTAACTTGTGTAGAAATGGCAATTTTTCCTGATCTCCGCGGGGATCCCCATCACAGGGATGAGACAGGAAAGAATATTCCTCCTTGCGAGGGGGGGATGAGGAGTATTTTCCCCTTGCGAAATTTTACAGTGAATTTTCCTCA